CCCGACTACACACCACCTCGACTACACACCACCTCGACTACACACCAACTGCCCGACTACACACAACCTCGACTACACACAACCTCAACTACACACCAACTGCCCGACTACACACCACCTCGACTACACACCACCGCCCCGACTACACACCACCTGCCCGACTACACACCACCTCGACTACACACAACCTCAACTACACACCAACTGCCCGACTACACACCAACTGCCCGACTACACACCACCTCAACTACACACCACCTCGACTACACACCAACTCCCCGACTACACACCACCTCGACTACACACCAATGCCCTGACTACACACCACCTCAACTACACACCACCTCGACTACACACCACCTTGACTACACACCACCTCGACTACACACCACCTCAACTACACACCACCTCAACTACACACCACCGCCCCGACTACACACCAACTGCCCGACTACACACCACCTCGACTACACACCAATGCCCTGACTACACACCACCTCAACTACACACCACCTCGACTACACACCACCTCGACTACACACCACCTCAACTACACACCACCTCGACTACACACCACCTCGACTACACACCACCTCGACTACACACCACCACCTCGACTACACACCACCTCGACTACACACCACCGCCCCGACTACACACCACCTCGACTACACACCACCTCGACTACACACCACCTCGACTACACACCACCACCTCGACTACACACCACCTCGACTACACACCACCGCCCCGACTACACACCACCTCGACTACACACCACCTCGACTACACACCACCTCGACTACACACCACCTCAACTACACACCACCTCGACTACACACCACCTCGACTACACACCACCTCGACTACACACCAACGCCTCGACTACACACCACCTCGACTACACACCACCTCGACTACACACCACCGCCCCGACTACACACCACCGCCCCGACTACACACCACCTCGACTACACACCACCGCCCCGACTACACACCACCTCGACTACACACCACCTCGACTACACACCACCTCGACTACACACCACCTCACCACCGCCCCTACTACACACCACCTCGACTACACACCACCTCAACTACACACCAACTGCCCGACTACACACAACCTCGACTACACACAACCTCGACTACACACCACCTCGACTACACACCACCTCCCCGACTACACACCACCTCGACTACACACCAACTCCCCGACTACACACCACCTCGACTACACACCAATGCCCTGACTACACACCACCTCGACTACACACCACCGCCCCGACTACACACCACCTCGACTACACACCAACTCCCCGACTACACACCACCTCGACTACACACCACCGCCCCGACTACACACCACCTCGACTACACACCAACTCCCCGACTACACACCACCTCGACTACACACCACCGCCCCGACTACACACCACCTCGACTACACACCACCGCCCCGACTACACACCACCTCGACTACACACCACCTCGACTACACACCACTGCCCCCCGCCCCGACTACACACCACCGCCCCGACTACACACCACCGCCCCGACTACACACCACCTCGACTACACACCACCTCGACTACACACCACCGCCCCGACTACACACCACCTCGACTACACACCACCTCGACTACACACCACCTCGACTACACACCACCTCGACTACACACCACCTCAACTACACACCACCTCGACTACACACCACCTCGACTACACACCAACGCCTCGACTACACACCACCTCGACTACACACCACCGCCCCGACTACACACCACCTCGACTACACACCACCGCCCCGACTACACACCACCTCGACTACACACCAACTCCCCGACTACACACCACCTCGACTACACACCACCTCGACTACACACCACTGCCCCCCGCCCCGACTACACACCACCGCCCCGACTACACACCACCTCGACTACACACCACCTCGACTACACACCACCGCCCCGACTACACACCACCTCGACTACACACCAACTCGACTACACACCACCTCGACTACACACCACCTCGACTACACACCACCTCAACTACACACCACCTCGACTACACACCACCTCGACTACACACCAACGCCTCGACTACACACCACCTCGACTACACACCACCTCGACTACACACCACCGCCCCGACTACACACCACCTCGACTACACACCACCTCGACTACACACCACCGCCCCGACTACACACCACCTCGACTACACACCACCTCGACTACACACCACCTCGACTACACACCACCTCACCACCGCCCCTACTACACACCACCTCGACTACACACCACCTCAACTACACACCAACTGCCCGACTACACACAACCTCGACTACACACAACCTCGACTACACACCACCTCGACTACACACCACCTCACCACCGCCCCTACTACACACCACCTCGACTACACACCACCTCGACTACACACCACCTCGACTACACACCACCTCACCACCGCCCCTACTACACACCACCTCGACTACACACCACCTCAACTACACACCAACTGCCCGACTACACACAACCTCGACTACACACAACCTCGACTACACACCACCTCGACTACACACCACCTCCCCGACTACACACCACCTCGACTACACACCAACTCCCCGACTACACACCACCTCGACTACACACCAATGCCCTGACTACACACCACCTCGACTACACACCACCGCCCCGACTACACACCACCTCGACTACACACCAACTCCCCGACTACACACCACCGCCCCGACTACACACCACCTCGACTACACACCACCGCCCCGACTACACACCACCTCGACTACACACCAACTCCCCGACTACACACCACCTCGACTACACACCACCTCGACTACACACCACTGCCCCCCGCCCCGACTACACACCACCGCCCCGACTACACACCACCTCGACTACACACCACCTCGACTACACACCACCGCCCCGACTACACACCACCTCGACTACACACCACCGCCCCGACTACACACCACCTCGACTACACACCACCTCGACTACACACCACCGCCCCGACTACACACCACCTCGACTACACACCACCGCCCCGACTACACACCACCTCGACTACACACCACCTCGACTACACACCACCTCGACTACACACCACCTCGACTACACACCACCTCAACTACACACCACCTCGACTACACACCAACGCCTCGACTACACACCACCTCGACTACACACCACCTCGACTACACACCACCTCGACTACACACCACCGCCCCGACTACACACCACCTCGACTACACACCACCTCGACTACACACCACCGCCCCGACTACACACCACCTCGACTACACACCACCTCGACTACACACCACCTCGACTACACACCACCTCACCACCGCCCCTACTACACACCACCTCGACTACACACCACCTCAACTACACACCAACTGCCCGACTACACACAACCTCGACTACACACAACCTCGACTACACACCACCTCGACTACACACCACCTCCCCGACTACACACCACCTCGACTACACACCAACTCCCCGACTACGCACCACCTCGACTACACACCAATGCCCTGACTACACACCACCTCGACTACACACCACCGCCCCGACTACACACCACCTCGACTACACACCAACTCCCCGACTACACACCACCGCCCCGACTACACACCACCTCGACTACACACCACCGCCCCGACTACACACCACCTCGACTACACACCAACTCCCCGACTACACACCACCTCGACTACACACCACCTCGACTACACACCACTGCCCCCCGCCCCGACTACACACCACCGCCCCGACTACACACCACCGCCCCGACTACACACCACCTCGACTACACACCACCTCGACTACACACCACCGCCCCGACTACACACCACCTCGACTACACACCACCGCCCCGACTACACACCACCTCGACTACACACCACCTCGACTACACACCACCTCGACTACACACCACCTCGACTACACACCACCTCGACTACACACCACCTCGACTACACACCACCGCCCCGACTACACACCACCTCGACTACACACCACCGCCCCGACTACACACCACCTCGACTACACACCACCTCGACTACACACCACCGCCCCGACTACACACCACCTCGACTACACACCACCGCCCCGACTACACACCACCGCCCCGACTACACACCACCTCCACTACACACCACCGCCCCGACTACACACCACCTCGACTACACACCACCGCCCCGACTACACACCACGGCCCCGACTACACACCACCGCCCCGACTACACACCACCGCCCCGACTACACACCACCGCCCCGACTACACACCACCGCCCCTACTACACACCAATGCCCTGACTACACACCACCTCAACTACACACCACCTCGACTACACACCAACTCCCCGACTACACACCACCTCGACTACACACCACCTCGACTACACACCACCGCCAAACACAGTTACGCTTCGGGCATTTATGCTCTTATTAAGAATTCTCGAGTCGACTCAGTTGAAGCGTCCTGCTTTGTTTTTCCAGACCTTTCTGACAAAATCGTTTCTGTTTCCCAGACGTACTCCCACATGGTTTTGTCGGTTAAAATTTCCTTTAACTTCTAAATGTCAACATTTCAGAAACGGGGAAACAGCCTCATGAAAGCTCAGCGAAGGAGGCCATCGGATTTCTAATTGTTCTCTCAGAGATGGAAAGTCAGCAGGAAGGAGTGAGTTGATCGGAAACTCGTCACTCTGAGTTTTTTTAGTGAACAGAGCATTTAACCTCTGAGAGAGACAATAACCTCCAGCTGACTGATGTCCGCTGGCGGCTGCAGCTATTACACCCTCACTTGCTTTTTTCTGCAGCACAGAAAGTGTCGCTCGCCTCATTTCCAGCTGACTGATGCCGCGAGATCGTCACTGACCATCAATCTCTGATAACAGAGGCAATCAAACCCAATTCAATCCCACAGACCATCACTAACATCATTCTCCCTCTGTGCAGTTTGCAGTGGCAGGTTCCATTGACCGTCGCCGTGGGAAACGCATCCTCCGTTTGCTTGGAGAGCCTCATCTGGATAAACAACAAGACAGGTACAGAGAAACCGCGACTCTGAACATCAACGTAAGAGTTTATGTTCCACTCATGATTTAATTATCCCGTTACTTTGAGTTAACGAGCTGTTACCTTGAGAGGATTCGTTAGCTCAGGAGCTCTAATTAAGGCTCTCCCCGGCACCGTGCACCAGACACTTTCAGAGCACTGATTAAGCTAAAGCAGGCTTCAGTCGTGGGAATAAACATCTTTACCGTGTCGTCATTGTAAACAGAAACTTTCTGCATCTTTTTAGGATAGAAACGTTCCTTCTAGGACTTTTCTTTAGTTTGTTTGGACCCAAATAAACCCTTATCCCTTCCTTTGGAACTCAGATGCCTTCTGCAGTCAGTTATGTAGTTTACTTCTCCTTGTTTTGCTTTTATTAGATCTGTGTTGTAGAAACACTTTGCTTATGATGTTGTTTCAGCTACTTTCGTTCGTTGTGTTTCTGTTTATTGGTTTGGGAAGAAAAACTTTCGGGATCTCCTTTATTTGTCCTCTGTTTCATAAGGTGCTGTTGTGTTTTCCTACAGCGAAACCTTCCAGGGGTTTTCTTTAGGAGACAAAAGCTGACTTTTCTTCTTTTTCTGAAGAAAATGAGGTTTTAAAAATCTATGTTAGTTTGGTTTCAGAGGAATCAAGAAGACCCATGCTGGCAGTTCTCCAGGAATCAAACCCTTTATTTCTTTGTTCTGTTTTAGTTATAAACGCCTCTAAACTCGGAGCTGGGTCACGAACTGGGGGGGGGGGGGGGGGGGGGGGTTGGGGGGGACTGGTCTTAGCTCATATTTTAGGTTCTTCTGGGGTTCTGCTGGTTCCTGTGGAGCACGTCCCAGATGACCCTCAGCTGTGTGGCATGATTACAGTAACGTGTCTGAGATGGGATCTGTTGGCACGAGACTAGACAGCTCCAGTCGGAACCGGTTTGGTGTTGGTTAAACACGATTAATAACAAAAAGAAAAACTAATGATTTCATGTAGAAAACAGAGAAAATGTAAATCAGACAGATTTTTATTTTTTTATGTTCGTACTCACTTCTGTTAAATGATAAATGAGATGACTGGCTAAAAGGCTCTGAGGAGGAAGACAGGAGGAGCTTAAGAGGGTGGCAGGAGGAGGAAGTGAGGAGGAGCTAAAGAAGGAGAGGAGGAGGTGGTGAGGAGCTAAAGAGGAAGAGGAGGTGAGGAGGAGCTAAAGAGGGAGAGGAGGAGGAGGTGGTGAGGAGCTAAAGAGGGAGAGGAGGAGGAGGTGAGGAGCTAAAGAGGAAGAGGAGGTGGTGAGGAGGAGCTAAAGAGGAGGTGAGGAGGAGTAAAGAGGGTGAGAGGAAGAGGAGGAGGAGTAAAGAGGGTGAGAGGAGGAGGAGGAGGAGCTAAAGAGGGAGAGGAGGAGGAGGAGGTGAGGAGGAGTAAAGAGGGTGAGAGGAGGAGGAGGAGGAGCTAAAGAGGGAGAGGAGGACGAGGTGAGAAGGAGCTAAAGAGGGTGAGGAGGAGCTAAAGAGGGAGAGGAGGAGGAGGTGAGGAGGAGCTAAAGAGGGTGAGAGGAGGAGGAGCTAAAGTGGGAGAGGAGGAAGTGGTGAGGAGCTAAAGAGGGTGAGAGGAGGAGGAGGAGGAGTAAAGAGGGTGAGAGGAGGAGGAGGAGGAGCTAAAGAGGGAGAGGAGGAGGAGGAGGTGAGGAGGAGTAAAGAGGGTGAGAGGAAGAGGAGGAGGAGCTAAAGAGGGAGGGGAGGAGGAGGTGAGGAGGAGCTAAAGAGGGAGAGGAGGAGGAGGTGAGGAGGAGTAAAGAGGGTGAGAGGAGGAGGAGGAGGAGCTAAAGAGGGAGAGGAGGAGGAGGTGAGGAGGAGTAAAGAGGGTGAGAGGAGGAGGAGGAGGAGCTAAAGAGGGAGAGGAGGACGAGGTGAGAAGGAGCTAAAGAGGGTGAGAGGAGGAGGAGGAGCTAAAGAGGGAGAGGAGGAGGAGGTGAGGAGGAGCTAAAGAGGGTGAGAGGAGGAGGAGCTAAAGTCGGAGAGGAGGAAGTGGTGAGGAGCTAAAGACGGTGAGAGGAGGAGGAAGAGCTAAAGAGGGAGAGGAGGAGGAGGTGAGGAGGAGCTAAAGAGGGTGGCAGGAGGAGGAAGTGAGGAGGAGCTAAAGAAGGAGAGGAGGAGGTGGTGAGGAGCTAAAGAGGAAGAGGAGGTGAGGAGGAGCTAAAGAGGGAGAGGAGGAGGAGGTGGTGAGGAGCTAAAGAGGGAGCGGAGGAGGAGGTGAGGAGGAGCTAAAGAGGGTGAGAGGAGGAGGTGGTGAGGAGCTAAAGAGGAAGAGGAGGTGGTGAGGAGGAGCTAAAGAGGAGGTGAAGAGGAGTAAAGAGGGTGAGAGGAAGAGGAGGAGGAGTAAAGAGGGTGAGAGGAGGAGGAGGAGGAGCTAAAGAGGGAGAGGAGGAGGAGGAGGTGAGGAGGAGTAAAGAGGGTGAGAGGAGGAGGAGGAGCTAAAGAGGGAGAGGAGGAGGAGGTGAGGAGGAGCTAAAGAGGGTGAGAGGAGGAGGAGCTAAAGTGGGAGAGGAGGAAGTGGTGAGGAGCTAAAGAGGGTGAGAGGAAGAGGAGGAGGAGCTAAAGAGGGAGAGGAGGAGGAGGAGGTGAGGAGGAGTAAAGAGGGTGAGAGGAGGAGGAGGAGGAGCTAAAGAGGGAGAGGAGGAGGAGGTGAGGAGGAGCTAAAGAGGGAGAGGAGGACGAGGTGAGAAGGAGCTAAAGAGGGTGAGAGGAGGAGGAGGAGCTAAAGAGGGAGAGGAGGAGGAGGTGAGGAGGAGCTAAAGAGGGTGAGAGGAGGAGGAGCTAAAGTGGGAGAGGAGGAAGTGGCGAGGAGCTAAAGAGGGTGAGAGGAGGAGGAGGAGCTAAAGAGAGAGAGGAGGAGGAGGTGAGGAGGAGCTAAAGAGGGAGAGGAGGATGAGGTGAGAAGGAGCTAAAGAGGGAGAGGAGGAGGAGGTGAGGAGGAGCTAAAGAGGGTGAGAGGAGGAGGAGGAGCTAAAGAGGGAGAGGAGGAGGAAGACAGGAGGAGCTTAAGAGGGTGGCAGGAGGAGGAAGTGAGGAGGAGCTAAAGAAGGAGAGGAGGAGGTGGTGAGGAGCTAAAGAGGAAGAGGAGGTGAGGAGGAGCTAAAGAGGGAGAGGAGGAGGAGGTGGTGAGGAGCTAAAGAGGGAGAGGAGGAGGAGGTGAGGAGGAGCTAAAGAGGGTGAGAGGAGGAGGTGGTGAGGAGCTAAAGAGGAAGAGGAGGTGGTGAGGAGGAGCTAAAGAGGAGGTGAGGAGGAGTAAAGAGGGTGAGAGGAAGAGGAGGAGGAGTAAAGAGGGTGAGAGGAGGAGGAGGAGGAGCTAAAGAGGAGGAGGAGGAGGTGAGGAGGAGTAAAGAGGGTGAGAGGAGGAGGAGGAGCTAAAGAGGGAGAGGAGGAGGAGGTGAGGAGGAGCTAAAGAGGGTGAGAGGAGGAGGAGCTAAAGTGGGAGAGGAGGAAGTGGTGAGGAGCTAAAGAGGGTGAGAGGAAGAGGAGGAGGAGCTAAAGAGGGAGAGGAGGAGGACGAGGTGAGGAGGAGTAAAGAGGGTGAGAGGAGGAGGAGGAGGAGCTAAAGAGGGAGAGGTGGAGGAGGTGAGGAGGAGCTAAAGAGGGAGAGGAGGACGAGGTGAGAAGGAGCTAAAGAGGGTGAGAGGAGGAGGAGGAGCTAAAGAGGGAGAGGAGGAGGAGGTGAGGAGGAGCTAAAGAGGGTGAGAGGTGGAGGAGCTAAAGTGGGAGAGGAGGAAGTGGTGAGGAGCTAAAGAGGGTGAGAGGAGGAGGAGGAGCTAAAGAGGGAGAGGAGGAGGAGGTGAGGAGGAGCTAAAGAGGGAGAGGAGGATGAGGTGAGAAGGAGCTAAAGAGGGAGAGGAGGAGGAGGTGAGAAGGAGCTAAAGAGGGTGGCAGGAGGAGGTGGTGAGGAGATAAAAGGCACTGAGGAGGA